GTTCGATATTTCGGTATATACCTATCCCAATCTCGTAAAACTTAATACCGAATAACAATTGAAATTGAATTCCAAACTCAATTCCAAGAAATAATACGTGTATTCGGTAATACCAAATAAAGACAAATTCGGTACTGTATTCGGTATATCCCAAACGTACCAAACTTCCAGCCCTAACTGGAGGTAGTCTGTCTGTAGGGTTTTCATTGTACTTGGACATATTTTGTTTCGAGGGCTAAATTAGTTGATCGAGTAGGCTATAAAAGACTTCTAATAACCGAAAAATAATTTAATAAAAAAGTGATGCTGCTTGCAACCCAATTGCCTTAGATGTAAAGATTGTGAAATCGTACCGGAGATTATACTGGAAAAGCAAATCGTATGATATTTTGTAATAAAATGGCGGTTCAGCCATTTTCTACCGCTAATTCACTAAAACATCCTACCAGTTTGAGTTTGATATTCGATATTTTTGGTTCGATCGATACGGTAGGATTTCTCAAACATTAATTAGATGCAAGCTTGCAAAAATGCAATTGTCATGTACATTATTGCAATTGCAAATGAATGTATGTCATCATATAATTCAAAATGAAATTCCAATATGGGTGCGGTAGGAAAAGGGATCCCAGAGAATATGCTAAGGGTTTCCCCTTCCCGAAATCCCTATAGATAGTGATGGCAATGGGACGGGGCGGGTTTCTCAATTCCAATATCCCGCCCCACGCTACTACGGGTTGGGGTAGGTAAAACCTCCTTTCCAATAACGAACTCTGACATGCATCCTGACTAATCGACCGGTGACCACCATTTCCCGACGCAACCCAAGCATCCTAATACTGAAGAAAGCATCGACGAAGCCTAGAAAAATCTTTTCTCGCCGATTCTCCAAAACCCTAATTTCACAGTAGAAAGCGATTTCTGGCGCGATTGGTGAGTTTTTCAGGGAGAGGTTAGTTGGGGGTTTCGATTATTTGTATGTTGTTTCTTACCTCCTCTTGTGTCTTTTTGTAGTTGTGACTCGCTGTAAAGAAGGAAAGCGACTCTACTGATTCCAAAAGGGACCACTTCGGATTGAATCTGTGATTTTCGCGAGATTGCCCCTCAACCCCACGGTGAGTGCCTCCAAATCCTGGGTAGAAGAGTCGTTATTGTCGTTCTTTGTCAAAAACCCTAGAGTAGAATAATGGTGGAAGATCGTGCTACTGTTTGTTTGTTAGTGAATTAATATAGGCAAAATATATCTTGATTAGGGTTAGTAATGACTTTATTTATTGGTTTATTAATTATTGTTTATCTTGTTTAGGGTTTAGATGGCTGATTCATACGAGGAGCAAGGTGGTGAAAATGATCCTAACCACGTAGGATCAGAGAACGCTAGCTTTGGTAATTTGGCTCGTGAAGATGAAGTTGCATCTGTGGCACGAGATGTGTTCCATATTTACGATTCTGATGATGCAGACACGTCTGATGATGAGTACCATGATGCTCGGAACAATTTACGCGCCTATGGGGAAATGAGAAGGAGGAAGGTGAAGGCAAGGAGAGATGGTCATGGGATGAGGTTGAACAACTAGATGAGTATGAGGAAGATGTTTCTGACAATGGAGCAGAAGATGAATACCATGAAGACGGCAATGGAGATGATTTGGAAGAACCTGATCAGGCAGCAGTTAATGATGGTGCAGCAAGTCAAGTAGTTTAAGATGATGTAGTCGAAGATGATGGTGCACCTCCTGTTCAAGAACCAAGAAGAGAAGACTCTCAACACTCTAGCTACAGACTGTCTGAGGAATCTGATCATGTTAGGGGCAACCTTTCGGACGAGGATGGTGGAGAGCCATTTGGGGATGCTCCACGCTATGATCTAGATTGTGATCACAAGAAGTTTCAATTTATTCCAAGGTTGAAGTTTGAAAGTCCAGAACAGTTCAAGAATGCTGTAGTTTTACATTCTATGGTTGTTGGGGCTAGCTTGAGATGGGTAAGGACTAAGGAGTACACAATCAAGAAAGGAAGTGAGATTCAAGGACAGTAGATGCAAATGGAGGGTGGTAGCTAGCTGGTTTAGGAAGGACCAATCTTTCATGGTGAGAAAGGTAGGGCTACGCCATTCTTGTTCACGTAAGATGCGGGTGAATCAAGTGACTTCAGAATGGATAGCATCTGGCATGCTTGAGAGGTTTCGCATCAATCCACAGTGGGCTCCAGACCAAATAATGGCAGAAGTGGAGCTCAAATACAACATGGAAGTGGACAAGAGGAAGTGTTATAGAGCAAAGGTTGCTACAATTCGAATTCTTAGTGGGTCATTGAAGGTTGAGTTTCAGGCAATCAAAAGCTATATAGCTGAAATGATGAAGAGGGATCGACATGGGAGGTTTGTCTTGGAGGTTCAACCACATCCTTCTGAAGACAAAGTTTATTTTCAGAGGCTGTATGTTGGTTTTTCATGCTTGAGGGATGGGTTTGTGGATGGATGTCGGCCAATGTTTGGCTTGGACTGTTGTTTTTTAAAGGGAGAGGTAAAGGGCATGTTGTTGACTGCGGTTGGGAAGGATGGAAACAACCAGATGTATCCACTGGCTTGGGCTGTTGTTGAGAGTGAGAATGCAGATTCGTGGAGGTGGTTTATCAATATATTGTCTCAAGAGTTGAACATGCTTGATGGCAGGGGTTGGTCTGTTATTTCTGACCAACAAAAGGTAAACTCCACGAATTCATGTTTCATCATCATACCATTGTTTTACTTTGTTATATATCTGACTTAATGTTATTCTGTCTTTTGGTAAGGGTCTGGTGGAGGCTCTACGTGAGCTGTTACCTGATGTTGAACATCGCAAGTGCGCAAGGCTCGTTTATGCCAACTGGAAGGTGAAGAACAAGACGGATAGGGTAAAAAAATTATTCTGGAAGTGTGTCTATGCTTGCAATGAAGTCAACTACTAGAATGCCACTAAGGAAATGGAGGAGATCCAAGGTACAGACACATTGATTACACCTTTCACAGACTTTATGAATGCTGAACCTAGATTATTTTGCCGAGCTTTCTTATCTTCAGTTCCTAAATGTGACTCAGTTGAGAGTAACATTTGTGAAACATGGAATGGATCGATAATTAAGTGGAGGGGCATGAGAATCATAGACATGATTGAGGGTATCTGTGGGTACATGATGGAAAGGATTGTCAAAAAACACCAAATGTTAGCTAATTGGGATGATGATCTTTGCCCTAGAATTAGAAAAAGAATTGAGAAAGAAAAGGGCTTAGCTAGGTTGTGTACCTCTAGACAGACCTTGGATAATAAGTGTGAGGTAAGATTGGGGGATTCAGGGTATATTTTGGACCTTCAGACTAGGTCATGTACCTGCAGATACTGGGGCCTTAGTGGACTCTCTTGCTGCCATGCTGTCTTGGCAATTACTCACGTAAGGAAAGAAGTGGATGACTACGTTCATCCAGCATACCATTGACGAGAGGTTGTCAATGCCTACAAGGTGGGGATTCCTTGTCTAGATGGAAGTCAAGCATGGCCAGAAGGAGTAGGATACCAAGTACTCCCTCCACAGGATAGGAGAATGCCAGGAAGCCAAAGAAAAATAGAAGAAAGGCCGCTCACGAGTTTGAGGTTCGACCTCAAGCAACCGGGATTAGCAAAGAAGTTTCAAGGAGGGGGTACTATAATACACCGTAGTAAGTGTGGTGTAGAGGGCCATAATGCATCGTCATGTAAAAATCCCTCCGTTGCATAAGCCCCAGTGAGTTTTACACAAATACCGTTCGGTTTTCCTTGTCTAGTTTATTTCTAACTTGCTTACTAACTCGAAAACAAATTGATGTCAGAGAGGAACATCTAGACCTAGAGTAAGTGCTCCCAGGCCAAGAGTTGAAGCTGTTGCGGATCAGAATCGGGCAAACACTGGTAAAAGAATAAGGACAAGTCATTGCTCTAAGTGTGGTTCGATCTCACACAATGTTCGAACTTGCCCCCTCAATCTTGGAACTGGAATTCACGTATCATATTGAATGCTCAATTAAATGTGTGATGTTGAGTATGAATGTGAATGTGGTTGTGGTTGTGGTTGTGTGATGCTGAAATTTTACAACTTGTATTTGTTAGGCAATTAGGCTGAATGTTGATGATAGAAGAACTATTCAGCGAGAAATGCGAATTGCAACAGCAGGTGTGGGAGTTTATGTGAACGAGAATACTGGAAATCAATATGTTTGGGTAATTTTTAATCCTAATGAATCGTAGGTGTTACTTTTCATGATTTTTGTCCAAACTGTGAACTAAATAATCCGTTTGGTTCTTCTGATTACAACTCAATGGAGCTGATGGGCGTCCTCCAGGGAACAGTCAGCAAGCTGTTGTGGATGTCCAGGGGAGCCAGCCACCAGTTACTCAACCGTAGATGTTGTATAACATGGTGGATCCATTTGTCAACCCCATTTTTGTCGACTTGAAGTTAGGCTTGAAGTTAGGATAGCTTGAATTCTACTCATGCTATGTAGTGGGGTGCTAAATTAGGCTGTGTGAGGAACAAATGTCTGCCTCAAAATTCGGATTATATATTGTATTGTAGGAACAAATGGTTGTGCTCCATTCGGATTATATATTGTATTGTAGGAACATATGGTTGTGCTCCATTCAGATTATATATTGTATTGTAGGAACAAATGGTTGTGTAATGTGGAAGTGTTTGGTAGTATATTGCACCTTGTATTTTGAATTCAAGCTATCCTCACTTTTTACAAACACTCGATATTTGAACAACAGCTTACCATCCAGGAAAGATAACCATTGCATTAGACAGGTAGAATTGTTAACATTAGACAAGAAAGACAACCATTACATCAGACAACCATTACATATCAGATTCGTATCCCACAAAACAAGAAGGAAAGAGGCATTCACAACAAGAAGAATTGTTAACATAATATGAATAAATCGAACATCATCATTCAATCTCCTTCCTTGGGCTAACAGAGTTTCACGATCTTTCATCCAGACCATCATATCTTGAGCTAGTCTCTTTTTCTCCTTCTTCCTCCTCTCTGCCTTAGACTCAGCGAGGAGCAAACTGTGCTCGAGTTGGCATATTAGGCTCTCTATAGAACCCTTTCGGTCCTCCAATTCATCCCCAACCATCTCAACCCACCTAGAAAACCGACAATTTTTCTTCCCTGGATTTTCACTCTCATTCTGCACTATCCATATGGTATAGTTAGAGGTAAGAACACTCAAAGGGACCGAAATAACTCGACAATCAATCTATCCCTTACCTGCTTCCAATAAGGACATCCATAAAATTGCCTGCCTGGGTTAGTCTCGGTACCCGACGTCTTAATCACGGCGGGAATGTTGTGCTTGCAAAGCACAGTCCCACACCCGCTGAGGTTGGTCGCTGAGGAAGAGCCCCGCTGTGACATCGCTGCAAATCGAGAAGATGATGGGGATTTCGGAACGGCAGATGCGCGAGCAGAAAAGGACTGAATGACGGCGGTGGTGGTCTCGAGCGGCGGCGTCGTGGTCTCGAACGGCGGCATCGTGGTCTCGAGCAATTGCGTCGTGGTCTCGAGCGGCAGCGTCGTCTCCACCAAGTGCTAACCCTAAATCGTGAGAATTTGTTTTTCGGGTTGTAGGGAAGGAGAAGGGGGGTAAGTAAGCAGATATTAATTTTTTTTATTCTACACGTGGCATTCCACGTGTACATTTTGCTGAAGTGTCAATCATGTGGAGGTCGGATTCCGTCCTCGTTAGCGTTCCGTCAAACGATTTAACGAAACCGTAGACGGTGTTAAAGTTTCTAACGTTTTTGGCTAGATTTGTCACACTACCCTCCGTTTTTTGGGCTATTTGTGGTTTTCGAATAGTAATAGCTATATTTGTCAAAGTGTGAAAGTTTTGTCTATACACATGTATTTTGCCAAAGAACAAACTACAACCACTTCTCATAGACCATAGTTATTAACTTATTATATCTATATTTTGGAGTGTGTGTGTGTGGGGGGGGGGGGGGGGGGGGGGGCAAACAACTCACATCCTTCTACTTTCTAATGTTTTCTCTACATACTAACACTCACACTATAACCTTAAATCGAAATTTCAATGTTATAGCCTCTACTAAACTTGACGCTACCGCTATTCCCAATTCGGCTTGTGAATGTTATGGAGTACATTTTGTTTGCTGAATTAGTAGAAGGGAGATACTGAGATATGCAGTCCCAAAATCGGATGTAATACATAGATTTTTATAGCTGCGCTTCCTCTTTAACAAATGAATATGAGAAATGTATGTATGGGCTCACACTTGGGAACATATCTACAAAAACAGCATTCTCTTGCGCGATCACCACTGAGAGAATTAAGCAGCCAGCCCTGTCACTGTCACTCTCAGCGACCTGTGAAAGCCTGCAGATAGCAATTTCGATCCACCAGACCAGAACAAAGATGGGGATTAAGCAATCAACAGAAAGAACACATCAGTCGAGAGACGAAAGAAGCAAGTTAAGAAGAAGCAGACAACAAAAACAACAACAAAGAGTGTGTTATTACCGAGAAAATGTTGCAATGACCCGGATCAGCAACGTGAGCCATCAAGTTCTCAATCGGACCTTCCCCTGTATACACCGCCTGGAAACAGAACCCCACAAACGCCAGCATCGCCAGCCGCCCGTTCTTGATCTCTTTGGTCCTCATCGTCATGATGGGCTCGGGCGACCCGGTCCCCCACGACCAGAAATCGAACCACAGCCCGCCCGGGTAGCCCACGTCGGCCTCGTGCTTGGGCTTGTGCGGCAGCACGGGCTCGATGTCGACGCTGCCGGGGTTGATCATGTCGGCCCACCTCCTCCCTTCGACCCAGCCCATCAGGGCCATCTGCACCACGAACAGGGTCACCGGGTCCGCGAAGTACTCCCGGGCGCCCGCATCGTACCAGTTGAAGTTCTCCAGCATCCCGATCCTCTCGAATCCTTCCGGTATCAGGATCCCGGCCACCGCCAGCATCGCCCACCTCGCGTGCATCAGCTCCGCCTGGGCGAACCATTTCAGCAGCTCCGGGTCCGAACCTGCTTACAACGATCCAACCCAAGACACTAATTATAGTACCCATTTAGCTAGCCAAACCCCAATTCGATTCTTCATGGGCTCAATGTGTTTACCGAGTCCCAGTGGGTCGAATCCGAAATCGCCAGGAAGGCTAGGGTTTTGAGTGGAGACACAACACGAAACAGAGTGAATTGTATTAGTACAGTGTTTTCAAAATCGAACCGGATATAGATTCAGATTAGGAAGATGTAAAAAATAAGAAATCTGTATAGGTACCTGCCGTCGAGCCAGTCGGGAGGGGAGCTGCCGGGGAACCAAATGGGTCTGTCGGGAGGGAGCGGCTCACAAATGGCAGGGGAACCTTTGGTTGCTCTGTTCACGGCTACTCTCAAGGGTTTATTGCAATTGCCCGGCGGCGGCCCGAAATTATGGGAGATTGAGCAGGTGGTGGTGTTGTTGGATGCAGGGGAGGCAACGCGGGTGAGGAATGAAGAGGAGGCGGCGGCGGCAATGGTGGAGAGAGCCATGATGCACAGAGGCAGGGGAATGTCGAAGCTTGCTCTTTTTTGGGCCTCAGGAAGGTCTGCAGTGTTTGTTCCTTTGGTTGGTTTTGTGGGGAGATGGAATTTGGATGAGGAGTGAAGGTTGTTGGTGTTGGTGGTGGTGGCAGTGGGATTGGCTTATCCAGTCCGTATCCAAATGTATTTCCCCAATTCTGGGTTCCCAGTTCCCACAAGCCAAGACGATGTGAAATGTCTTTTTACCGGTATACCAAAATAAAATACAAACTTCATTTGACAAATACACCGTATATTTTAAAAATTGTTAATTACATTTCAAGTTAACAAACGTGATACTTTTTTTTATTACAATTGTAGCCTTTAATTATAATAATTGCAACCAACGTGGCATTCTGTCAACTTTATATTCAACTTTATTTTTAAAATTGTTAATTACATTCTAAGTTAATGATCCTTTACTTTTTTTGGGCTAAATAACACGTTTGGTCACTTAAATTACATAAATTTTTCACATTTGCCACCCGAATCACTTTTCTTTCTTATTCGCCACTAACTTTACGAATCGTTTCATGTTTGATCACCGACCGTCAGTCTCCGTTAACTTTTTGATGAGGTGGCAAATGAAATTGCTGACTGTACCGCTAACTTAATTACATGTCAATTTAAAAAATAACATAATAAAAAAGTTTTACATCTGGGTCGATAGATGAACATCGAATTTCATCATCTCGTCAAAGACCCAATACGCCTACAGGGTCTTCATCCCCTACAACAAAGTCTTGACGCCGAAGCCACAAGTCCGCGAATCGAGCGCCAAGCTCTGAGCTCTAACCTGCTTTAACAAGGATTCCACAATAGAGGCAGTGGACTGGAGAGAAGTGGATGGGACTTGAATATCAATTGGTAGGAAGCCGAATCATGAGCGAACCCGGGCTGTTGAGTAAAATTTCTTCTCCGCTTTGAAAACCTCGAGAATCAAAGGCGACAATGTCGTCTCATCATCATGATGTTCTTCAAGAATGCCGTCGTTTCCACCCTTACCTTATTCCGAAATTCCTTGTTCTGGTTTTGGATCCGTCTCGCTCTTCTTTCCCAGCTCCTCATCCTCCGTTGAAACTTCCGAAATCGGAATAGGTGACAACATCGTTTGTTCTTCCTGTCTGTCTCAGCCCCAAGCAGCCTCGTTTTGCTTTGAATCACTCTTCGCCGATTTAGTTAAATCCCCTTCGAACCTTTCGTAAGTAGATCCGGAATTCGCCTGCGTCGGGCACCCATTTTCTTCTTCCTTCCGCATCTTCTCCTCCTCCTCATCACCCGATGGCGAAGAATCAACAACGACCTTCCTCTTCCGGCAACGACCTGACAGCGGTAGCGCGAGGAGGTCACGGGACACAGGTTTTAAAACAGGGTCTATACGGTGGCTCCTCAACAAGCATACTTGAGCGCCCATCTCCGCACAGAAAGAGCCGGAACCATTGGCAGGCTTAAATTCACTTCGAGAATTGCTTGATTCTTCCGGCAACATAGTGGAATTTTGTGGGTTAGGGATTCTTCTTGGGAAGTCGGCGGTGAAGGAAGGGAAAGGGCGAAGAAGAGGGTGCACTGACCAACCTCTAAATTATTATTATTTTTTAATTTAAATTCACATGTCATTAAGTTAACAGTACAGTCAGCAGTTATGTGCTCCACGTCATCAAAAAGTTAACGGAGTTAACAGAGACTGACAGTCGGTGACCAAACATGAAACGATTCGTAAAGCTAGTGGCGAATAAGAAAGAAAAGTGATTCGAGTGGCAAACGTGAAAGATTTATATAATTTAAGTGACCAAATGTGTAATTTAGTCCTTTTTTTTGTTACAATTGTACCCTTTAATTATGAACTTGCAATGAAGGACGGCTCTCTTCGCGGTGCCAAAAGAAGGACGACTTTAATACTATGAGCCATAGATTGTGAATGGTTCGTTGCAAATTCCGAAGAAGAAGGTCGACAAAGGAGCTCAATGATGGGGATAATAGTTTGGTGGGATAATTCTTAGGTAAAACACCGACACTGGGTTTACTCCGTTGGTGGGCGAACTGGATTTGGTGTCGCAAGAGTGAGATTCGAGTTTCTGGGTTTGGAAACCATCTAGTTCTTTTCCAATTCCCATCGGCGGGCGTCTGCAATTGGGTTTTTTAGGGTGTTCATGGCACTGCCAGGAGATTATGATCTTTTTGTGCTAGTGGGAACCAGGTATTCGACCTCTGAAGTTTGATAACTCAGCAGTTCCAGTCTGAGCCAGGCTTTCAGACATCTCAGCAGAATTGAATTCGAAAGAAGGAATAGTTTATCGTGCTAGTATCTTTGGTAAGTCCTTGTGTATGGATTTACCTACGAGGAAGGGGGATAAAGTAGGTAGTGTTATGATAAGATTTTTGTGGAATTGCAACAACTTCTCTGTTGGTTGATCAGATTAGCTTTATACTCGATGGTTTAGTGGAGATGTTTGTGTCAATGGAGTATTGCGGACTCCTTATGATTTGTTCTTCTTGTAAACTATTTGCTTACAATTGTTCTTGACCTGTGAGTGGTCGGATGCAGAAAATTTGGGTGGTCAAATGGAAGAGAACAGTTGAGCTGGTATCTACTGTAGGAAATGAGAAGGGTAAAGAGGTGATGGATGAAGGGCATGATTGTAGTGGCCTTGAGCCATATGTGTGAATTTTGGTAGAGAGCTCTAAGGCTAGGGAGGTTGAAACTTTACCAATAATATCTAACGCACTTACATCGACGGAGGACTTAATAAAGTGTTGAATGGAGCAAAACCTAGACTTGTGCAGGTTCAGTCACCTACATTAGCGAATTATTTTCGGCAATTTGTGCCAAACATCCAGTGATCCTTAAACTAGTGCCAACAAAAGCTGATCGTGAAGGATTGAAGAGTAGTAAGGGAGTTGCACCTGCAGCTCGTCCAAGTAAATGAGTTTACTAAAGCCACAAGGTTGGTGAGATAATGAGTGCCAAACGGTGCCAGATATGAAGGAGTCCAAGTGTTAGTGTGGAGCAAGGAAGAAAATGAATTTGCGTTTGTCAACCCAAACCCGACAAACATAATCTACTGCCAACTCTCGCGCATCCGCTTAGCCCAGTGACAAAGTATCTGTTGGACCAAGCGAGGTCAATAATGAATACTTTTGACGTGGTCAGTGCACAAATTAATTCTAATTTCATTAGTGAGAGATTAGCACTAGCTTGATTGAGCAATCCAAAAGGACTTGCCAAGGATCTCTCTTGAAGTGATTAATTTGTTGGCACTGATGAAGAGAACAAAGTTAGAGAAGGTATAGAGAGAGAGATGAGTCGGGACACGCGATTTTAACGTGGTTCGGCCAATATGGCTTTACATCCACGTCCCGAAGATATCTATCACTATCTCACGAGAGACTCTAACTTCTATTAAAATAAAAGACTCTCTAACCTATGAAATTGAAACAACCTTGAGACTTCGTGTCAAGAACCACATAGGTGCAACTCCACACCTATTCAACCCTTAGCTAAATCCAAGCTAAGCTACCCACTCAATCAATCAAGCCAACACTCTTAGTTTGACTTGATTGAAGAGTAATCCACCTAGTGCAACTCCCAAGCAAGAATCCCCTCTTGCCCTTGCACTAGTCCCAATTACAAATGCCCTTTCTACCCTTTCTACCCGACCTAGCTTAAATATCTCAACCCCCGAGTTATCAAGCTATTCACACCACGAAATATGATCACACAATTTTGCTATTACAAGGGAGAAGAGAACTTTGCAAAAGGTAGTCTAAACTACAAATGACTCTCCTATTTATAGTGAAAGCAAAACTCCATTTCCTTTCATTTGTAGTCCTTTATAAGGAAAGTATCTCCTTGATTTGATATGCTCTTCACTTGATATGGTAGCTTCTTGAAGGCCAAGCAATTGCTTTGAATTCTTTCCTTTTCTTAGCAAATCTTTTCAAGACCTTGATTGTGATATTTCTGCAAGAAATGTTAGTCTAACATAAAAGCACATATTCAAGACAACATAAAATTGCTAAGTCAAACTTTTTGACCCAACAATATCGACTCACTGAATCTCCCGCCACCAGTGGGTTTGCTTCCGCCCTGCTTGCTCACTGATTTGGGGTTTGGTAGGTAGGATTTTGTTCAAGTCGAATCAAATAGAGGAAGAAGAGGAAGATGAGAAAGGGCCTGATCATGGGTTGAGTTGGGGTATCTTATGTGACAGGTTTTAGTGACGTGGCGAGTCAGTTGTTAATTTTCTCATATTAAATTTGTCTCATTAGCCACTTATTTTAGCAATGTTAGTAAAAAAAAAAACTGATGTCGTTAATGGCTACTGATGAAAGGTAACAACTAGTAACCAAACATGGACGGTTGTACTAATTTCACTATTTCTGTGACCACGAATGAAATGAAATATTTATAGTGACAAACATAAAGCAATTTAGTAAATGAATCGCTATTTGCCACCCTGGTATTTATTATTTACCGCCCATAGTTTTAAAATGGGTTAATACCTTAGTTTGGCCTGAACTATACACATACTTTCTACTTTGGCCCGTGGTATTGGAAATTGCTATTTTGGTCTTAACTATGTAGCAAACTTCCTCATTTGGCCTGGAGGCGGGTTTGACTGTTAAATTAGACGGTCAAACTTGTTGACCGTTAGTCAATGTCCACCTCACCTGCCACGTAAGCTTTGAGGACATAAAAAATATATTTTTTTTATTTCTGAATTTTGTTTTCTTGTCATTTGCTAAAAATGGGCCCTTTTTCGTTCTTTTAATTAATTTTTTGATTTATTATTTTTATTAATCGAAAGAAAACAACATTCAGAAATAAAAATAAAAAAAATTATGTCCTCAAAGCGACGTGGCAGGTGAGCTGGACATTGATTAACGGTCAACAGGTTTGACGGTCAAACCCGCCTCCAGGCCAAATGAGGAAGTTTGCTACATAGTTCAGGCCAGAATAGCAATTTCCAATACCACGGGCCAAAGTAGAAAGTATGTGTATAGTTCAGGCCAAACTAAGGTATTAACCTTTTTAAAATATATGACAAGTTTGCCCTTCTTCCAACTTAAAACCCTAAATTTATCTAACTCATCCTCTCACAAGAGCCCTCCTCCCTCCCATCCCCAAACTGCCGTCGACCTTTTCTCCCTAAACCACCTCCCCTATCGCCGGCGACCACTTCCCTTCCTCCCACTCCGCCAACTACTCCCCACCATCGACTACCTCTCTTCCTCCCACCATCGCGACCTGCCTATCCCTCCCTCCTCTCACAAGTTGTTGCCGATTTTGAAGGACTTCTCCTCAGCCGTTTCTGGAGAAGTCGCCAAGAAAAGCTCTCCAACGTGTTGTCTTCGCCGAGAAGGTAATATTTTTTTCCCCATCCGCTCGCCGGCGTCGGACGACTCATAACAGTCTGACGCTGGCGAGAGGACGGCATTCGACGCCGGCGAGCGGACGACATCCGATGCCGGTGAGCGGACGGGATCCGGGCCGACGATAAAGAAATCGTTGGGAGCTGGAAGGTCGTTGCCTCATTCGTTGGCTCCGGCCATGGTGGTTTGACGGCCATGGTGATCGGCCGACCGTTTGCTTTGGCGATGGTGGTCCGTCGAAGGTGACTCGAGCGATGGTGGTACTGCCAACGATGGTGATTTGGTAATGGTGTGAGGGTGATGGAAGGAGTGTTATTGGAGTGAAAGAGGAATAGAATATTAAGAAATTCATGGGGGCAAAAATATCATTTTAACTTAAGGACATGAGCGGCAAATAACAACCTTCTTTAGTAATCCTAATAGTCAAACTTGCAATTTAGCATTTTAACTTGATTGGCTTGAAGGTAGTGGTACAAAGTGAGCTTGTGGGTTAACACCATCATCGGCCGTAAGACCGATTCTACGAGGCCGCTATTAAAAGTGCGGCACCGGTGCAGCCACTTCATATTGTGTCACGTCATGATACATGCGGCAGGTTGAATTCTGGAAACAAAGTCCAATAACCAAATATCCAAACCTTCATCCATTCGGTTAAATCCTTTCCAACAGGACTTGGGGAATCTATTTATTCATTCTTTGTTATTCCATTTTTTCCACAAAAACTTTTATTGTTTTGTTTGTGGGGATAAAATAAAATAGGAGAAAAATACAATACATAAAGCAACGTAGCCTTCCTCTCCATCGAATTGCATCGCCGTCGCCGGCCCTCGAATCTCGTCGTCATCCCCCTCACTCCCAGCCCAAAAAAGAATCAGTCATCCTTCTCGACCCTCTTTCTCCGGCTAACTGTTGCACCGCCATCGAATACTCACTATCCCACTCCAAAAAACATCAGAAAATTGTCGTTTGTCTCTGTCATCCCCCTCGGTCTCTAACTAGGAATCAATCGCTAATCACCCTTGGCCCTCTAACAAAAGGAATTCATGAACTTAAACACTGGTGGTGAGTTAGTCAATAAAAGAAAGAACTGTACAAGTGAGATATGGTAGATGGGCAGCAAAATTTGTTCTTACCTTCCATGTTGATTTGTGAGAGCATGCATCTCGTAGTTTCTCTGCTTTAGTTTCTCAATCATCTCTCAAAAGGCGTTCAATAACGAGCTTCCCTCGTACACCGACAATAAGAGGGGTTTTACCGAGTTGAAGTATGGAAGAGTTAACGGATTGACATGCCCTAGAATGGAAATGGGCGATGCAGTTCTGAAATTCGGTGACGAGGGGAACACGATGCTTTGTGGTTTGACTGGTTTCCAATATTTTTTTCTATTTAATTTTTCCCCAAAAACAAAACAATATATATTCCGCAAAATAAAGAGATTCCCTATTGGTTGGTTAGGAGGGGTTTGAACCAACCGGCTGAAGGTTTGAACATTTTTGGTTTTGGACTCGATTTCCATAATCCAACCTGCCACATGTACCATGACGTGGCCCAATAAGAGGTGGCTGCACCGGTGCCGCACTTTTAATAGCAGCATCGTAGAATCGGCCCGGCCGTAATATTCCAAACAAAAAACTAAAAAAGTGAAGACAAAAGTATAGTACAGTAGAAATTAAACGAAGGGAGTCGACTAAGGGCTTGTTTGCTTGTGGAATTTGAAAATGAAGGTTTTTAGTTTTGAAAACCTTTGGATTTATGATGAATTTGTTTCATTTTGTATTTGAAAGATAACATTGTTTGTTAAGTTAATTTTTATCATGGATTTAAAAGTTTTTGTACCATAAGTATCAAATCCTTGTCTTCCATAACCAAATACCAAATGAAATATAGTATTTGCAAATACGTGGAGTCACGGATTTAAAACTAAAAAGAGGTCAAATTCATGGGATCCACAGATTTGTATACCTCAACAAACAATAAACCAATAAACATAATGTTTTGTATCTGTGTGATAATCACACAAACGATATCTAAATTACCTGTCATAATCTCCATTCACCATCCGGGAAACGATGAAGTCAAACTTTTCTACGAACAACGGCACACAACCACCGACCTCTTTCTCCACTGCTTCGGCAGCTACCAATCACTCATCAGAACCAGCTCCGGTCCAGCGCTGTACTTTAATCCGCGAGCAATGGCCGGAGTGATCAACGTCTCGCAGTTTCCATTCCTCCGAACAATTTCCCGCCGCGGCAGTGTTCCTGTCGGTATCAGAACCTCCATTCCCGTAACCAGGGCATCCTCGTCGTCGTCGAAAACGCCTCCGAGCTCCGGCGCCACGACCGCAGCCACTAGAGGAGAAGAACAATCAGCAGCGCCTTCATTTGCTGCCCCGGCCGGTTTCAAGACGCCGGAGCCAAAGCGGTTTGCTATCCGACCCGACAAGGGCTTGGATGTTGCAGGAGCGGCTCTCGCCATCTTTTTCCGCCTCGGCACTGGTGTCTTCCTCAATGGGTAATCGGTTTTCCCCCTCTCTGGTGGGAGCCTGCAACTTAATTACTTGCTTCATCATCTGTTTAACTTGGGAAATTGCTATTTTGTTTCCCTCCCTGAAGTCCAATGGTGCTATCTCTAGTGCCTCATGAACTGCTAGGTTTTTTTTTTACCGAAATGGGATTGTAATTATAGTTCTGTGTTCATTCTTATACCGTGACAGGTACTCGGTGTCTTTCGTGTCCAAAGATGAGATTCCAGCTGACCAATATGCTCTAGAACTAGCTGGTAGACGTGAACATTACTTTCATTACTACACTCTGATATCCCATGCCTAGATATGCAAGATATTGGAAGATGGCCAAACGAGGTCCTTGATCATAACCAACTAGTTCAAAAGTGCACTCCCCTGATTATGTAGGTTACAAAGTAAAAGAGACATCAAAGCTAGGACCTCGTCCGTAGCAGCCAATCATGATATATGAGTTTGAAAGGTATGGAATTTCTTAAGTTTTAATTTCCTGATCAAAATGAGAGACGCATCTTAGAAAAGAAAAGAGGAAGCAAACATAATTCCTCTGGCTTTTCTCTTCATTTCTCTCCTTTTTCCTACGAACTTATCTATGTTTCATAGTGATGAATCGAGACATTGATTGTATGTATTTCTTTTCTCCATGTTTGGATGGTGGCAAAACAACCTGCAAATCTTCAGCTGTCCTTTCTGTCGGAAGGTATTGTGATTCTGAACACTGTAGACTATGTATTCGCTTTGGAAATGTTTAGCTTGGTACATTCTAGTCTAGGTCCGAAAAACCATGGATCCTTAAATTATCCTTATGAATTTTATCAAGAGGAGGTGAGTTCTTTAAGGGCAAGAGAGGTCTGGCTAATTGATGGCAGTTGACCTTCTTTATGCCTTTGCTGAGTTATCTGATCTTGCTGTTTTCTTTCCTTGTACTCCATTTTTCTATAAACCTGCTGACATGTTGGCTGGCATATTGCCTTGTGTAAAGGTTAGGGAAATTGTTGCTGTCTTGGATCTTGATGTTCTATTTTATCCCTGCCCAAGGAATGGTCCCAATTTCCGCCCCAAAGGCTATTGAGTTGGGGGGCAAACAGCAATTCCCCTACATGGTTTGATCTCTGTGTTCAGGCTTTTTTGTTGTCAAACTAAATTTTTTGAAGAGTGGAATCTTGCCTTCTTTTATCTTCTTTCACTGTGTGAAGCTTGTTCAAACTGCAGGTTGATCCAAATACGGGAGTTGCAATGTATGAATCAGATGCGATCATAAAGTATCTGGTTGATAAATATGGTATGCTTTTGCATGAGTGCTTACAATATTCGCTTATTCTCCCCACTGCATTGGCACTGGGAAACCCCAAAAAGCTCTTGTCGCAATTGCGAAGCTAATGCCAAGATCAAATTTGATGATTATTCTTCTGTGAAAAGTTTGAATGCTTCTTTCATCTTCTTTAACTCATCCAAAACTTAAAAGGAATGAACTTTCAAATTATTTTGCTAGGTCTTTAAGTTTTTCTTTTCTTCTGTCACTGCAAGATATTTACATCTTGAACTTGTTTATTTTAGGTGATGGAAGAGTTCCTCTCATGTTGTCACTTGGTCTTCTAACAGTGAGCACTTTGCCTTTGCATCTTCCTCTTTCTCTCATGTTGATTCGTATTCTACGTTGCATGGGCCTTATTGCTGGTTTTCTCGTTTCTCTTATTTTCTTGCAGACTTTGACTGCCGGCTTTGCTATGATTGGTCGTATGGGAAGGGTAATACTTTTCATTTTTTCTTGATAATTTCAACTAATCAATAGTCTTCCAGCTTTCATATCTTTCGACGTCTTATGAAATGTTTATTTGGAAGATATTGATCATATTCCTCCATTTTCAATTCTATCTATGCAGGGACAATCATATCGGCCATCCAAATTGCCTCCAAAACCTCTTGAATTATGGGCATACGAGGTTCGTTCCAGTCATGTACTTTATCTTGTGTTGAATGAACATAGTTCATCCCTAAAATTGCACGAGTAATGATTAATGCCATCATGCCTGCGTTTTTAGGGTTCTCCATTCTGTAAGCTTGTCCGTGAAGTGCTCGTAGAGTTGGAATTACCACATATTTATCGAAGGTAACATCCATTGATGGTGCTTTTTCTCGTTTGGGACACTTTTGAAATCCATAGTATCCTTTGGAGATTCAGACACTTCCAATGAAAATTTCAGTTTTGGAATGCACAACTAATTTTGAAATGCTGACATTGTAATAACAAATAGCTGGGGCATTGCACTGAAAGTTTCCCCTTTTTTCCTTCTATTTCTTCTTGCCAGTTGCGGCCGTGGAAGCCCAAAACGGCAGATACTATATGCAAAAACTGGTCATTTTCAGGTTTGCTATACCTCATTCTCTGACTTCGTGCTTCCATCAACTTAGCCTACTGAGAAATATCAGTTCTGAGTTTTTATGAGGAATTGCTCTTGTTGGACGTTATTATTGACAGGCACCTTACCTGGAAGACCCTAACACAGGAGTACAGATGTTTGAGAGTGCAGAAATCATCGAGTATCTAACAGCGACTTATGCTGCTTAAACAGTCTCCATCAGAATGCCTTATTTCGCAGACAGCACGTCTCGCCTCGCTTCATCCTCCTGCTCTTACTATATACAAATTCATATTGCTATATACTGGAACATGCTTAGTGAAACAACAAAGCAGCTCTGTAGCATTGTTTGCTGCAATAAAATGACGAAAGAGGTTCATGTTAATGTTCAGTTAATAAGCTAGCTCCCTTGTCCTATAATGTAGGTAGAGAAGACTCTAATGGAGCCTTGACATTTAAGTCAAAACCTCTCATCGCTGAAAGTAAAGAAGTTTGGTGAGTGACAGCAGCCATAATGATGATGACCAATTCTGAAACCACCACAAATAAACCCCAACAGCCAAACTAATAGGATGCTGATATTAAGTTGACCTGATCCATTGCAATACTTTTGCGGGGGTTGATTTTTGCAGGCTTCAAGGCAGCTGTTTGACCCATGTCCACCCTAAAATTTTGTGAGAGATACATATTTTGTCGAAGAACTTTAAATTTGAGATGGTTGTAATCGGCACACTTTTAATATACTATAAAAAATATTGTCATAAAGCTACTAAAATAAGTAAATATATATAATATAATTTAATTAACTTATGCCAAACTAATCAATTTTTATTTTAAACATTCCACACTTTCCATAGTAAGGTTGTGTGTTCGGTTTCCAGTAACGACACTTTCCCTTCTCCTCTAAAAGTACCTTGTAACAGGTTATTATATAAAAAAAAAGTCCCATAAACCACCCACCCCTACCCTTAATAACCGTAGTGTTCCCTTTATCCATTTTGATTCCACTTCTCTTTTTTCATTAGACAATAATGGAAAACCTCTCACCAGTCACACAAAAAAACTTGCTAATCTTCTTACTCTTTTTAATTCACATTTCTTTCTCTCATTCTTTGTATATATGCCAAGTGTCATGAGGGGGAAAAATTCACTATAGCTGCCTCGCAACTTTCTGCCCTCCGATTCAACCCCCAATTGTTTACTCTCGGCCGGCGGAGCCCGCATTATCATTTTAACTTACACATTGACGCATCTCACCACTTTTCCATCTTCGCATTCTAGCTTCCCCACATGAAGTTTGTGTACACTTTACCTATTGCAATTGCGAGTTGCGAAAGAACTTTTCTTGCCAGGAATTTAATCAAGAACGATCATTAGAATTGGTCTTATGAATGACTGTTTAGTTATGTACAATAAAAAAAAAGTCTGATCCGCAACATAAACGACAAATATATTATACAACTCTTTCTGCATATGAAAATTGGTCGTGATTCGCGATAAAAAATAATGCAATTTTCAACTTTATGAAATAAATTTTTGTATTTAATATAATAATTTTTTTAATTTTTTAAATTTTTAACATGTTTTATCAGCAACACACCTGTCCAAAAATCCTAGATCTACAACTAGTTTGGTTGGTGGATTGGAACTAATGGATTGAGCCCACAAATCATCAATCAAATCGATAATAGTGATCAGAAAACGAGTTTGTTTTCTATGTTAATAGCGTTGTTTCTGGTAATAATTTTAACAGGTAGTACTTTATAATTTTGGTTTGATTTTGTTTGATACACTCCTAATCAATCAAGCCCATTAAAAAAAATAAGCAATTAGTCATATAATTAATATATTATGGTTTAGACTAGTGTGCCTATCGAGTTTTGCTATTTAAACTACAAATTAATCGGAGTTTGGGACATTATACTATACCATAACCTCTAATGAGGGGATTTTTCAAGAAATAGCACCATTAATTTTTTTTACAAAAATAGCTCCCAGGCCACAAAAATTGCAAAACTAGCACCCTTTTTGAAAATCGCACGGCCAAGGTGCGGTTTACATATAAACCGCAACCTGAGGGTGCGATTTGCTTTTCAGAACGTGAATCGCACATTGGACAGACGGTTTGCTTTCTGACCTACCAGAACTGCATCCTGGCAAGGCGGTTCTTAGGCTGACCTAGCAAAACCGCCTGCTGAGGATGCGGTTTCTGTTTCTCTAACACAAACTGCATCCTTAGTGTGCGGTTTTCATTTGCCGACACACAAACCTCACCCCCCTACGGTTTATGTGTCGTCCCCATTTTCCCGACAACAGCATGTTGGCCATGTAGGTTGACAAACGTGGGGGCTGCATGGCAGATGAAAACCGCACCCTCCACCTGCGATTTTAAGTGATGATTTAGCCTATAAAAGGCAGTCACACTTCTCCTTCTTCTTCGTCAATTTTCTGTTGCCAATGAAAAGTGTAGTTTCGATGGATATCAACAGTAAGCTCACTGCGGCAGTGCTCCCAGAGGAGATTAGACGAGCGGTATTCTCCATTGGACCCACCCAAGCTCCGGGGTCTGATGGGTGTACCGGAAAATTTTATAGAACATACTGGGATATTTTGGGACAGTCTGTAGTTGAGGCTGTTTAGTCTTTTTTCTCGACGGGAAGAATGTTGAAAAGTTTCAATCATACGTGGTTGACTTTACTCCCTAAGGTGGATGCAGTGGAATCAATGAAACAAATCCGACCTATTAGTCTGTGTCAGGTGTTTTATAAGATCATTTCCAAAATTATGGCGGAAAGAATGATCATTCATTTGCCCTTACTTATCTCTCCAGAGCAAAATGGATTTGTCAGAGACCCTCAAATAGTGGATAATGTATAGATAGGATAGGACATGAGATTATGCACTACCTTAAGCTGAAGAAGCAAGGAAAAAAAAGGGGTACATGGCTTTGAAGGTTGATATGGAAAAGGCCTATGATCGAGTCGAGTGGCCTTTTTTGTTTGCTTTGATGGCAAAAATGGGGTTTAGTGACCAATGGATTGGTTGGATAAGAGAATGCGTGTCTTCTGCTTCTTTCTCAGTGATGATGAATGGTAGCCCTTCGGGGTATTTCCGATCTCATCGAGGACTGAGGCAAGGCGATTCTTTGTCGCCTCTCCTTTTTGTGATTTGTACTGAGGGCTTTGCGGCTTTGCTAAGACAACAACTATCAGCAGGACGACTGAAAGGAGTGAAAGTGAATCCAAGAAGTCCGAGTGTTTCTCATCTTTTCTTTGCAGATGACTCCTACTTGTTCTTGAAAGCTTCGATTGAGGAGTGTAATGTACTGTTGCACGTTCTTCAAGAGTATCAACTCCTAAGTGGGCAAAAAGTTAATTTAGCAAAGTCTGTTGTGTGTTTTAGCAGAAATGTAGACGCAGGCGACTGTGGTGCAATGGCAGAGCTCTTGGGCGTAGGTGCTGTGGGTGTGTAGGACAAATATTTAGGTTTGCCGACACTCATTCACCGGTCAAAAACAGAAACTTTCCGGTATTTGGAAGAGAATCTTCTCAGTACAATTCAGGGATGGAAACAACGACATCTTTCCGAGGCGGCGAAAGAAACTCTGCTCAAGGCGGTGGCAGCTGCTTTGCTAGTTTACGTTATGTCGTGTTTTTTATTGCCTCGGACGTTATGCCGGAAGATGGACAAGCATATGGTTTTGGTGGGGGTTTACGCCTGAAGGGGATAAAGCCCGATGGGTGTCGTGGAGAAATCTATGTCGTAGCAAGTTTGATGGGGGCCTTGGGTTTCGGAGGTTTGAGGATTTCAATCAGGCATTGCTTGCCAAGGTCGCTTGGCGGTTGCTAAATGAGCCCCAATCTTTGTTAACTCAAATTCTGAAAGGGAAGTATTTTCCAAATTGTTCTCTACTTGAGGCAACGACTAGATCTTGTCCCTCTTGGGGTTGGAGGAGTATCCTTCATGGAAGAGATTTGCTGTTGAAAGGTTTGCAGTTGCAGATCGGTAATGGTGCTTCAGTTCGCATTATAGAGGACAGTTGGGTTCCCGGTATGGCTGATATCTCCAGTTTAGTGTTACCGCAGGCGCCGGATCAGACGGGTATGACTGTCAGGTAGTTGATTGATGTTGGGACAGGGGATTGGTGTGAATCGTGTCTTGCGGAAAGGTTCAACCCGGAATTGTGTCGTAGAATATTGGGGATCCTGTTACCGCGGATACCTATCATGGATCGGCTTGTATGGACGGCGGAACAAGATTGTAGGTTTTCGGTGCGTTCTGGGTACCATTTGCCCTTCACGAGAGACGCAGGGAGGATGGCTGGAAGGCTGAAGTTTCCTTCATTGATTCGTCTCTGTGGAAGCAGGTGTGGGGGTTTCCTATACCCCCAAAACTGAAGTTTTTTCTCTGGCAATTACTTCGCAGGATACTTCCAACGTCTGAAGCGTGTTGGGAGAAGGGTGCCGAATGCCCCAAGACCTGTCTGGTATGTTGTGATCCGTTAGAATCCCGCGAACATTTGTTTCTCTCATGTAGGGTGGCAGTCGATTTGTGGGAAGGGAGTGGCCTAGGAGAGGTTAGACGGGGGTTGGAGCATTTGAACATTGCATTGTTCTTCCTTCGTGTCCTTGAGCGGGACTCTAACGGATGGAGCCTAGGAGAGGTTCGTGAATGGCTGTCTTAGTTCCATTTGATGCGAGTCAAGGAGGGTCAGGGAGATCAGCCGCGACATTTACTTGCTCAGAGGATGGTGCAGTGGAAAAAAGGTTCTCATTCGGCAGGGGGGTTGGTAGTACGGGACGGTCAAGGGAGTGTAGTGTTTGTGCATGGGTTTCTTTTTGCAGGTGTGGATGATCCTTATGTTACGGAGCTGTTGGCGTTGCGGGATGCTATTCGTTGGTGCTCTTTGAAGGATCTCAGCGACATAGTATTTCAAGGAGATGCAAAGGCGGTTCTCGACAAGGTAAGAGGGAAAGAAACCTGGGATGTCAGAGGTGGTACTATTCTTGAGGAGATTGATTGGCTTCGACATCATTATGTCCATTTCTCGGTGGAATTCATTGGTAGGCAAAACAATTGGGCGGCCCATTTGGTGGCTAAGAAAGCCCTTTCTTTGTTTCCTGCGGGAGTTCCGGAGTTTGATTTTCGTGGTTGGTTTCATTCAAGGTTGTAAACTTGGTTGTTTGAACTTTGTTATCTTTTTCTTTCTTGTTAATACAAGTGAGCTTTTGGCAAAAAAAAAAACAGTTTGGGGGCTGGAAACGGAACTCCCCTTTGGTTCTCCCCAAAAACACCTTTCACCTTTTGAAGTTTTCTTTAACGAACGCGAAAAAAATCCTTTTGTTTTCAAATCAAATAGAAATAGGTCATTTATTACAATTTATTCAAAACAAAAAATAGTCCAGGACTTCGAATAGGCTCTGGAAAAAGGGGAATTTTCGAACAAAATCAAAAAGTCCATTTTTT